TCTGTCGCAGCGGATCGGGCGCCGCGGCAGGGTGCCGGCGCTGTCGCCGCGCATCTCCGCCCGCGTCCGCCCTCAAACTCGGGACGATGGCGAGAGGCCCGCCGCCGAGCGATGTCAGCAGCTCGCAGGTGCTCGAGACGGCCCCACAGGTGTGACAGCCTGCCGGGCAGAAGCAGCTTCTCTCCACGCGGGTCTGCAGCGTGCAGACAGGGCAAGGCGGTGAAGGAGACAGAGATCGTATGCGCTTATCCCTAAAAGAGAGGAGCAGTTTAGAAAAAGGATTGACCGAGCAGGCACCAGAAAACTAATAATAGTGCTTAACGCTGGGCAGGAGGATTGCAGGGTTTTGTTTCTATTTCCTGCGTTTTGTGAACTGAGCATGTATCGTCTCGATTTTGGAAGGAAATATTTTACAACAGTCCATGCGTAGGTCTCCACTGTTACAGTGTGATTCTCACGTAAACAGCCATGACGTGTTAGATTGTTAATGAAGGATCAGCCAGGATAGCAGTGGCAATTTAGGAGTGAATGCGCAAGGCTGGGGTTTTGTAATGCATGAATTGGAGGAATGCGGAGATGAGATTGCTAGTTAGATTCAGAAACACAGCCTTTGTCTGAATGGAAAGAAAAATTACTGAGCCTTAGCATCCTGTAGGTTATCCTCTGCCTTCACAGGTTGTGAGGGGTCTGGGCCCAATCAGTGGTCAGTAGCATGTTCAATCATTTCTCCTGGAAAGCCATGCGATCCTGAGGGCTTTCTGAAGCAGTGGCAGTCCTCTCCGAGGCTGAGGCAGGAGGGTTGTTTAAGCCTAGCCTTGGTAAATTGGCAACTTAGCACGACCTCGTATTGGAGAGAGAGAGGGAGAGAGAGAAAGAGGAAAAGAAAGAGAAGAGTAAAGGCGGGACTGTAGCTTACTGAGAAGGCCCTAAATTCAATCCCTAGTACTGAAAAATTTTTTTTAAAAATACAGAAAACTTGCAGCCACTTTTTCCCCTTGATTTCACTTCATTTCCAAGTTTCCAAGTTAGTACCAAGTTTGTGAGCAGGACAGACAGAAGTAAAGAAAGAGCTTTGATGGTGACAGGGCGCCTGGTCAACTTAGACTAATGTGCTAAGTTTGTTAGCCTTTGGAGTTTTTTTAAGACGGTGCAGTGCAGTAGAACAGCTGAAACCACTGACCCTTACATAAGAGGAAAGCAGGGGAGACCAGCAGTCAGGAGATGGACCCTTAGCCAGGGCCAAACCCCAGCCCTCCCAGGCTCCCTGCTGCCTCTGGCTCCTGAGCAGGGAGGTGAAGGGGCTGGCTGAGAGATTGTGTGAGTTTGTGCCCTTGGTCTTCAGCTCCCCCAGAGGGGCAGTGACTCAGCTGTAACTTCAGGCCACGTGACGAAGTCCTCGAAGCAGGCTGATGTGAGGCGATGTACCACAGGGACCAGTGGTGACTCCCGAGTCCCTTGCTGGTCTAGAGTAAGGGAGATGTGGTTGGGTCAAGGAGCAGAAATAGGCACAGAAGGAGAACTGGGTGCACCCATGTGACGCCTCTGTGGTGGCGTCTGCTGACTCAGGGTGAGTGCAGCTGTGACACTCAGAGGGGCGGTGCTGTGCTGCAAGACTCCAGGGAAGGCAGACCAGCGACCCGGGCAGCTGCAGCAGGAGCCGGACTTCCACCCGCTGGCCCAGGCAGTTAGGCTGGCCTGGCTCCTTTTCCCAGCCAGGGAGGTTTGCTGATTGATACTGTAGACCAGACACTTGGGCAGTGCGCACCCTGTTTGTGGGACCACGCTACCCCAGGAGCTCTGCTCTTGATGGCCTAGTCCTGGTGCCCTGGGTGTCCCTCCCCACCCTCCAAACCAGACCCTTCCTAAGACAGTGCTGGTACTCACTGCTCCTGGAGGAGGAGTTTGCCATGCCCTGCAGAGCTGGGACTGCCCCAGCCTGGTAGCCTGTGCAGGTCTAGCAAAATGGGACTGTGAGTCTGATCTGGTGACTGACTTGTGGGCAGTACAAGAGGGATTTCAGAGTCCGTGTACAGGTTGTGCTTTAGTGGGGTTGCTGCTCAGTGCTTGGGAGTGAGGCCTTGGTTGTCTTCTCTCCCACACTAGATTGGCCTGAAGCAGGTCTGAGCCTGCAAGGGGCTTGGGGGAGAAAGTGTGGATCCATGCTAGAGCCCACCCAGCCTCTGGGTGTTGCGTTGCGTGTGGGCCAGGACGGAGTGTCTCATTGCCGTTGGAGATGAGCAGGTGAACTGGAGCCCTGCTGCAATTTGACCAGTGGCGTGAGCCGAGGCATTGGTGGCGGACAGAGCGGCCTCCCACTGTCACCCGAGAGAGCGATCCATGCCCTGAAGACACACGCGGAGGCCCGCAGAGTTCAGGACGAGGGATGTGCGGTTCCCCAGTCAGAGTTGTCACACAGTAGAGCCTGTGTTACAGCAAGCAGAGAACGCTTCTGGGATTTTGACGCCATGACTGCTGTCAGATCCGGGCGTTTGGTAGGGACTATGTTGTCCTGCGTCCACAATAGGCCCTGACTCGAACTCAGTGGAGGTTCACAGGAGGCAGTGCTTTCTGCGCCCTTGGGATGGGTGGCCAGAGACCTCGATGAAGCCGTGCAGACCAGCACCTGTGCAGTCACTCAGCGCTTCTCGGCCTGCTGTCAGGCTCCCTGAGCACTGGCGGCCGGCCCGCAGGGAGCAGCCTTCCGTAGCAGCGTGCGCTCCCCAGCCAGAGGCCTTTGAGGGAGGGCTTTGCTTGCTCATTCTGAAAGTGAAAGTCTGGAGCAGGAAACATCACTGGTTCCTTCAGTTCTAAGAAGTTGAGACTCTGGCTTCTGCAGTTTCACAAGCCAGACAAGTCCAAACTTGGGAAAGGCTGACTACGGGAGCACACGTTAGCACGTACTTATATGTCAAACAGACGTTTCAGGAGTGCCTCTGTGGGCCAGGCCTCATCACGCAGAGGGGACACGGGGTGGGTGGGCAGATGTGTGCGCTGGCGTCAGCAAGAGTGTCCAGCGGAGGTTGAGGAGTGGAGTGTGTTTAGGAGGAGTGGTGGAGGAGACACTGTGCTTCGGAAGCTTGCTGCAGAGGCGAGACCCTAATGAGGGGTCTTGGGGATGGAGCCCAAGCATGCATGCAGAGTTCATTTGTTTCCTGTTTCATTACCTTGTACATGCAGCCTGAAGGAATTTCTGTGCAGTATGCCCAGGCTGGCCTCAAACTCCTGGCCTTGAGAGATCCCCTGTCTCAGCTTCCCAAGTAGCTGGGACTCTCAGTATTACCTACTCTGGTGACTCCTGTATAAAGTAATTTTTGTGTGTTTCATTTTGCCTGTGACTTGTCACTTGATGTCAGGTATGAAATTTTCCACTTGGGGCCTCTGGCAAGACTCGGGAAGTGCCAGATTTCGGAGGTCTTCAGGTTAGGAAGGCTCGCCCTGTGCCTTGTGGCGCTGATGGCTTCAGTCCCATGGCCTCTGCCTCTTCCTCCAGGGCTCGTGCTCCGGGCTCCCCCAAGGAATCCGTGTCCCAGAGAACCCCAGAGGCTGCAGGGCCAGCACATAGAGGCACAGGGTTTGAACCAGGTGTGCCTGACCTTGTGCCCATGCTGGGCTGTAACTGAGGTGTAGCGTGGGGCATAGGAGGTTTGCCTTGCCAGGCAGTCTGGAGTCCAGGCAGGCTCTATCTCCTGGAAGTGGCATACCTTGGCAGAGTACAGCACCTTGTAATTATGTAGAGGTGTCTTATCCTGTGGGCTCTGAGTTGTGTAGCTGATCGCAGGTTACACGAAGCCTGAACCCAGTTTGTGGGCTCCTGTCGGAAGTCCATGGGGCGTGTATCCACGCTAGGATGTCCCTGCCCCCATTCAAGGTTGTGCCTCTCGGTCTGGGGTTTATTTTCTTTCATTTACCTACACTGTCAGTAGGTGTTGCCTTGCTTTTGTGTCTTTGTAAGTGCATAAGAATAGGCACAGAGAGGATACTTCCTGTACGCTTGCTGTGCTGGGTGGAGGTTGTCTTCCTAAATGAACTCTTTTCTGCTTTAGGTTGAAGCTGGATGCATGAAGGTGCCAGAGACAGCCCTGCCGTTTCTTCACTGGGAAGAGACGCAGTGTGAGGGGTGGCAGCCCCTTGCTGGCCCCGGGACACTGTGGGACGATGACTCCTGCCAGTGATGGGGGCACCTCTGAGGGCATTTTTGACCTGGACTATGCATCCTGGAAGATTCGCGCGACGCTGGTGGTTGCAGGCTTTGTCTTCTACCTGGGTGTCTTTGTCGTCTGCCACCAGCTCTCGTCCTCTCTGAATGCCACCTACCGCTCCCTGATGGCCAGAGAGAAGGTCTTCTGGGACCTAGCAGCCACACGTGCTGTCTTTGGGGTCCAGAGTACGGCTGCAGGTCTGTGGGCGTTGCTAGGGGACCCTGTGCTTCAGGCTGACAAAGCACTGGGCCAGCAGAACTGGTGCTGGTTCCACATCACCACAGCCACCGGGTTCTTCTTCTTTGAGAACGTGGCTGTCCACTTGTCCAGCCTGTTCTTCTGGACTTTCGACCTCTTCTTGGTTGTCCACCACTTCTTTGCCTTTTTGGGATTTCTTGGTTCGACGGTGAACCTCAGAGCTGGCCACTACCTCGCCATGACCACGCTGCTCCTGGAGATGAGCACCCCGTTCACCTGCATCTCCTGGATGCTCCTGAAGGTGAGTAAGTGCTGTGGACAGCTGGCCCTGCCCAAGGGCGGGGAGCAGGGCCCAGCCCGTGCCGTCACTGGCTGGAGCAGCACTGGGGCCCGGCTAAGCCCAGCACAGCCGTGTCACAGCTCACTGTGCGCTGAGGTGCTCATCTAGCCAAAGGGCATTTTAAGTTCCTTGGGCTTCCTGTTTCCTAAAAGAAAACACAGTGGACCTGATGACTCACGGGTACTGCAGTGTGCCCTAGAAAACGTGTTTATCTCCTCCGGTGCTTCGGAAGTTGAGTCAGTACATACATGTATGTGGGAGTCAGTGGTCTCTCCGTGGTCCCCGGGAGAAAATGGCAAGAGGATTTAGAAAATAAAAACAAGAGACGATAGCCGGGATCAGGTGAAGTTACCTCTTGCTGATGAGCATGAGGACTGACCTCAACAGTAGGGGTGTTTATTGTATACACTTGCAAAGCAGCGTCATGAGAGATAATGTTGCCTAGCGACTAAGGCTAAGACTGTAATTGTCCAGGCAGGATACTTTTTTCAGTACTGAGGTAGCTTGACTGCCTGAGGCACCCTGGCTCTGCCCCACCCTCACACACAGGACCAACGACGAGCTCCAGGCTCCCAGCACATGGACACATCTGTTTTTGCTCTTCTGGTTTGGTGCGGGGTGGTGGTGACAGTGGTCTGCCTGCCTCGCTCGTGCACCCCGGCCCAGGGAGACCTCCCCGCTGCTTCTGGGCCGGGCAGCCCCTGCCACCCAGCCACTTACCGTGACCTGTGCTGGCAGCGCCTAGCACATCCTCGGCTGGCACATCCTTCTTGTTTTTGAAGGTGTATTTTTTAATGTGTGTCTTCCGTATATGATCATGATGCTTATTCTTATGTCAAAATGTTCCTCGTCTTAGACTTGAAATTGCTCTTTGGCGTAGGTTCTTGCCGCCTTTCACGACACGTTACAGGGTATTTTGTTCACAGGGTAGTTTACAGGGAACTTGAAGCGCCAGGAATATTGACCAGTCACACGCATAGGTTTTCTGCCTGGGCCCTTCTTGCTGCAGCACCTGGGTGGGCTGCGGGCAGGGAGACGACGGAAGTGTGGTCCTGCCCCGAGCGCCAGTTGCCTGGTTGGTGTGCGTCTGTCACACGTGAGTCCACAGCATCGTCAGCGTGGTGACAAGGCCCTGGTCCTGAGTGGACTGTGCTTGGAGGACCGGTATGCACCGAGATCCGAGGCCCACTGAGTTGTGGCCAGTGTCCGCACCAGCATGGCGTGTCACAGGACAGCCACAGAAGGGACACGGGGCGCAGCAGGCTGAGGCGGAGCGGTCGTGGACGAGGGCTGCAGTGGCGTGGTGCTGGGGACAGGAGTGCTCGGGGGACCTTACCAGGGAGGAGGTAGGACTGCATGTGGGCCAAATGTCACTCTTGTGACCCGCATACTAGTTGGGTGATGAATGGAAGGAAGCCGCCAGCTAATCGTGGGGCCGTTTTCGGGGAGATCCTGGGACCCAGGACCTGTCACGTCTTGCCTGCATCACACGCCGCTCCATTGCCTCTGGGTGACGCTGGCTAGGGCTTGACTGCCCCTTTCTCTGGCTCCGAGCAGGGTGCTGGCGAGGGGCTGGCCTGACACTGTGTGCCCCACACATACTAACACAGGGCTTCGAAGGTGACAGCACAGAATGGGGTGCCCATGAGGGGACCGCAGGGCTGTTTGAGCACACTGACCAGGCTGACACCTGCAAGAACATGTGCTGGGGGTAATGCGTGTGTGCTGAAATCTAAGCTAACAGCTTGCACTTTTATTATTTTGTTGTTGAAAAGTCTTTGTTTTGTTTTTTGAGACAGGTCTTACTATGCAGTCTAGACTGGCCTCAAACTTATGCGATCCTCCTGCCTCTGCCTCCTAAGTGCTGAGATTACAGGTGTGGGCCACCACACCCAGGTGAAAGATCTTTGAAAGGAAGGAACGAAAGAGAGAGAAAGGGAAAGGAAAGGAAGGAACTGGAAGTCCTGTGTCCAGTCCTGGGAAATCAGGGTTGGGTGTTTCTCCAGGGTCTTGCTGGAAGTGGGTGGGGCCATACCCCTGGGGGGCCTACCCCTCCACTTGGGGCCTTGGCCAGCCTCCTTTTTCATGGAGGTGGAAGGCCCGCCTTCAGGGGTCCTCAGCATCTTTGGGAGAGGACAGAGCTCCAGAGACTCCAGTAGCGGAGTGCCCACCAGCCCAAGACTGCCCTGGGCTGTGGTGTACACTTTGAAGTCGCTGGGTGCTGTCCATGCGGGGTGGGGACAGGGTGGGTCCTCCTGCCCCTGTGAACTGCGTGGAGCCAGCAGACCCAAAGCTTCCACCCCGAGCAACAGAGCTGAGTCTGTTGTCGGGTCCTGCGTCATGTTCTCACTCAAGTGCTGCTCGGTTTTGTGAGTAAGCCAGGTCTGAAGTGTTTCCGAGGGACCCGAGGGACTGACAGCTTCTGGCAGAGTAGGGCGCTGGGGTCCAGGGATCCCACCCGGAAAGTCTGACTCCACCGCAGGTGGGAACCCATGGCACGCTGCTCCAGGGCTGTTTGCACCATTGAAAGCCCAAAACGTTCGCCGTCAGGGGTGTAAATTGAGGCAAGGGCCCTCCACTGATTTCAGGTGAGTTCTAGGCAGTGCATGGCTCACCCGTAGTATGTGCTTGCGTGCTTCCGAGTTGTCTACAGCGAATAGTTAGTGGATTAGATAGCAGTCAGTCCTCCAGCATGAGCATCCACACGCTCAGTAGCACAAATGGAAATGAGCTAACAGCGGTCTGTTTGTCCATATTTACATGTGTGTGCACATGTGTTTTTATATGTGTGTGTACGTGCGCAGTGATGCCGGATCCATGGTCTCACCAGTGACCTCTTGCAGGTTTTATCATGTGCCCTGGCCTTCCTCAAGGCATTTGGTGACACCGACTATAAAAGTTTTCATTGCTGCCTGAACGAATAGCGAGACCAAGGAGCCCTCGGTGCTGAGGGTTTTCTAAACTTAATCGCTGAGTTGCAGTTGTGGTGCCTGTTTCTGATGTGAGTATTAAAAATCAAAGACAGCCACAGTAGTTGATGAGGAAATAACGGAGAAGAGCCCTTGGACTGTGAATGGGGGCTCACCCGTGAGAGCCTGGTGGGGACTGAGGCCTTACGGTGGGGAGGCGGGGGACAGGCACCAAGGCCGTCCACTGGCACGCTTGCTGCACAGCTGGCACGGGCATGGTGACAGAAGGTGGTGGAAGCGGGGCCTGTGAGCGGCAGAGGTGTGTGTGACCGTGCTCCAGATGCACATGAGGATGGTTCCGGAAGCCAGGCAGGTGGTACAGTGGGCATTTCTCTGGAGCCACTCCCCACCGTGAGACTGTGCACACATGCTGGTGGCCCAGTGTGGTCCCTGTGTGTTTTCTTCCTCTGTGGAGCAGAGCACCCATGTAGAACTGTGCTGGTCTCCCAGCCCGGGGTCACCACCTGGGGCACTGCAGAGCAGAGCATGCCGTGTGTGCTGCACAGAGGCCGGACTCTTCCAGGCGTGTCCTGAGTCAGCTGACCTCAGCCAGATGGCTGCACACCCTGCGTGCATGACACAGGCCACGAGCCTCCCTGGGTGGGCACTCAGGTGGGCACTCGGGTGGGTCTCCATCAGGGGAACGGACAGTGAGACCATGCTATCCATGCTGCAGATGCACACGATGCCCAAGGCCAGGCAGAGTCAGGACACGGGACATCTGTACATAGTGCGCATATGTGCCATGACACCGTGCTGAGGACGTGCAAGTATCTATCAGATAATGAACTGCTGAGCACAACTGCAGAAGTACTTGCCGTGCACCAGAACCCAACACGGGTGTCTGCCCCTTGCAGGTCCCAGCTGATGGCTCACGTGTCCACCCTGCCCTGCCTGCTGTGTGACCTTGGGCTTCCTGCCCTGTCTGGTCGAGGTTGCCTTGTTGGAAAGTGGGGTGTTTTGTGTGGACAGGTCAGGTGCACACAGCAGCCGTAAGCGTAGGACACAGCGCAGTGCCCGCTCCTATCAGAAAAGCTGCTCATCCTGCTTCCCTGGGGCACTGCTGGCCTCGTTATCACCAGCGTGCAGGAAGAGCCTGGTGTGTCTGATTTGATGAGGGAGACACATGAGGTTGTTGGTGCGTATTCACAGTATTTGGCACAACGGATAAGTTCCTTGTCTTCCTTGGTCTGTTTGTTCTGAGAGCCTCCCTCTAGTGCAGGTCTGTGCCTGGGTTTGCGTTGGAGCTGAGTGCGCTTGTCTCAGGGTACTTGGGAGCAGCGGTCCTCTCTTGTTGATTGCACAGGGGCGGAAGTCGTCCGTGTCCTATTTGCCCGGGGGCCCCAGATCGCCTTGCCCACCACGCCCCAGCCCGCACCCAGCCTTGCCTGCTGCAGGCCCGGCTGTGTCCCGGTGCCGAGTTTCCACTGTAGTGCAGGGCTGCGTCCTGGCCCTGGTGTCACAGACACGTGACTCTCAGCCTGTCAGATGTCAAGTGTGCTGAGCTTGTGTCTCTCGATAACCGAAGAATAAATAGGAGGACAAAGGAGGTGACCAGTAGGAAAGGTTTATTGAGAAAAAGCTCCTCGGTGACAGCAGGGGGCCCGAAAGTGGGCTGCCACCAGGCTCTTTGTCATGTTTTTACACATGAAAATGATGAGACCTCAGACCACTCTGGGGCAAGCTGAGGCCGACCTGTGAGGTCACGAGTGCAGTAGCTGAGCTAATCCTCATCTGATGGGGAAGCCAGGCACAGAGGGAGGGTGTGCAGTGGGCATCGCTGACCTTAGCTTATCTGTAGCTTCTGACGGGGAAAGGTCAGAGCCTTCTCGGGGAGGGATAGGCACCTGAGTCAGGAGCCCGGGTCCCCACCTGTGCAGCTGGTGCTATCTGGGCTCCCGGGGCCGCGTGCGGATGCAGTGTCCGTCTCTGGGGAGGCTGCAGACCTGGCTGTCTTCCCGTTGTTCCCAGCCACAATTTCGACGTGTCTTATCTGTGCGCTGCCTCTTTTGAGGACCCAGCCCCCCGCTGAGTCCTGTTAACTTCGGTCTAATGTAGCCATTTGTGATACTGGGAAGGAGCCGCTTGTGGTCTGCAGCTCGGGTGGTGATTGGAGGAGACGGAGAGGCCCCACCCTCACGCCCAGGTCTGATGCCTTGGGTACCCTGGGTCTGCGAACGCGTTTCCTTGAAATGTAACGGCACTTCAAGGCAGGTCCTTTGGCCTGTATCTGATGCTACTGTGGCAAAGGATTAAGCTAAGACCTGGCTTTCATCCTGAATGCTTTCCTAAGAGGTTCTGCTCCCAGGGCCTGTGTCTCACAGTGGGGCTAGATAAACAGAGCTTAGGTACAGTGTGCGCAGGTTGGAGATGAGGAAAGGGTTGGATTCTGCTTTTGGGAGAAGTCAAGAAGAAAAAGGGGACAGGTGAGCTGCCTTCAGGGTCCCGCTGCACCCTGACCTCTTGTCAGAGAGCAGGTCCTCCCGCAGAGAACCCAGAGAGCCGCGTGCTGGCAAGCCTGTGCCCTGAGAGAGGGTGCAAGTGCCTTTACACGGGAGGGTGGGGGTAGTGGGGGCTCCCAAGCTGACGTCTGCATGTGCTTTGTCTGCAGGCCGGCTGGTCGGAGACGCTGCTTTGGAAGGCCAACCAGTGGCTGATGATCCACATGTTCCACTGCCGCATGGTCCTCACCTACCACATATGGTGGGTGTGCTTCTGGTCCTGGGACCGCCTGGTCAGCAGCCTGTACCTGCCTCATTTCGCTCTGTTCCTTGTCGGGCTGGCCCTGCTCACGCTGCTCCTGAACCCATACTGGACCCACAAGAAGACCCAGCAGCTGCTCACGCCGGTCGATTGGAACTTTGCACAGCCGCAAACCAAGAACAACCGTGCAGGCAGGACCAGTGGCCAGGAGCTGCAGAAGAAGAGGCTGTAGTGGCCGTGGCCAGGCAGGCGGTGGCACCCACTGTCCAGGGCACACGGGTTCTGTAGAGCTCCAGGAAGAGTGACTGGGAGGTGGGGCGGGGCGTGTCTGGGTTCAGTTCTCAGTGCAGACTTTCTCTTCTTTAGTATTAATGCTGAACTAGCCACCAAGCGTCCCTAAGATCTTGACCTGTACTGAGGCGGAGATCTTTGTCACCGTGCTCCCCCGTCTGTCCCGGCTTGTTCCCGTGGGGCTGGCCGTGTGGGTGGCGGTGACGGTGGCAGGCTGCTAAGGAGGGTGAGGTGGTGGGAATACTTGGAAGTGACTTCATGTCCCACGTGCTGTGGCGGTGTGGTTGGGTCTGCTCCCACCCGTCCTCGTCACACACTCACACTGTGTCTCATTGGAAAGTCACGTTTTTTAGTTGGAAGGAATTGATTTAAGAAAACAATGTGATTTGTTAGCCCTTGTTAAAATCTCCCTAGTGTGGAATCTTAACGCTAGGTTGCCACAGCGCCATCTAGTGTCAGGTGGCATAAAGCTGTCCTCATGGGGTCCCACCCCGCGGCAGACTGCCCTGAGGTTCACCCCCACCCCGCACAAGGCGTCGGTTCAAAATCTTGTATATTAGAAGACCTACTTTATAATGAGAATGTCTTAAATTGAAATTTTATTTCTTGTTGACAAAATAATGTGTCTAGCAGCCAGGCTTAGATTTGTGTAGATTCCAGAGCCATTTTGGATGATGTTGGCAGAGGAGCCCCTGACCTCCTGGGGCTGTTTCTCTGTGATTTCAGCGCTGAGTGGTGAGGAGTGTTTCCCTGCGAGCTCCGCTGGCCCTGGGCCCAGAGACCCTCAGTGCCGAGTCCTAAACAGACCCAGCAGCACCCAGCAACAGCTGCCTGAGGAGGGTCCCATGCACACTGCTCCCCTGTGCGGGCCCCCGCCGGACTAACACACTAACCAGGCGGAGCCGTGGGCAGACGAAATGCCACTTACCGCAAGTGTACATTAATGTCCAGACCTTCCTTTCATCAAAAGCACCTTTGAAGAAGTGTTTGCAGGAAACACGTTTATTGCCTCTGAAAATCACGTGTCATGTGGCTGCTTATGTTCTGTGGGGCTCTCCAAATGGCACATTTGAAGACCAATGCTTGTGTTCACTTTACTGACTGTGTGGAGTTCAAGACATGTAATTCCTGTTTGTCTCGAGCAAAGAAGGTGTTTAAGCTGTTCCTGCTGGGATTGTTAGCCCCGGGCGTCCGCTGGCTGCCCTGCCGTGCCTTTTCCTTGGGAGCCCGCGGTAGCTGAAGCCTTTCGACTGCCCGGCTGTTTAATAAAGTGGCGATGTTTACCGAACCTGGCTGGGTGTCACTTGTCTCTGCTGAGGGAAGCTTACCTCACTGCTCAGGTCCCAGGCATGGTTTTCATCTTGGAAATACAGATTGTGATGGCCAGTTTCATGGGGTCAGAACTGGCAGAGCAGACCCAACCACACCCGCCACAGCCCGTGTGGAGCTCAGGTTTCAGCTGCACTTCTTAGCACCGAGGCGTCCCCCAGGACTCATGCTGTGCATCCTGTTTCCTGCTGGACCTCCTCTCCATGCAGAGGCAGGAGTCCCGCCCCCTGGCTCCCTCGGCCGCCTCTAAGGAGGGCGTGGAGACGGTGTCGTCCCTGGGACTGGTGATACTTCCCAGGGTCTCCGTGGCCTATTACTGCATAGTCCATGGGAGCAGACACGGCTCAGGGAGGGCACAGAGCAGGGGACGGCAGGAGCCACCTCGCTGTGCAGCACGGGGCTGGCACACACGTGAGTCTCGGTCAGAGTAGGTGTGAGCGATAACGAGGAACTCTGGAAGATCCTGCAGACCTGGCCTCATCCCTGGATGATGGCTGTGGAGGTGGAAAATGCTCTGTAGCAGGGATGTGGACTGTCCGTTTGGCCACAGTACACTCCCTTGGCCCTGTGCTTGCTTTCAGTAGGGAAATATTTCCCCGTATCCATGGTTTTTACAAAATCGGCCAAGGAGACCGAGTGAGCAGAACAGGAGTGGAGGGCGTTTCTCCGGGCGAGAAGGGCGGCCTGCCCTGTCCCTGGCCACCACACCCCTGAGCGATACTGGAGCTGCTGGAGCGCAGCTGGAGCGCAGCTGGCGCAGGGCTTGCTCAGTTTTCCTTCACCACGAGACCCCACACCAAAGAACAGGAGTTCCAGTCTCCGTGCTGACAGCTCCGGGCAGTGGGCACTGATGTGCTCAGCGGAGCTCGAGGCTCAGGAGCGGGGATCCCGAGGCACACAGCGGCACCAGGGCGGGCGGGCGGCTGAGCACGTGCTGCGCAGGTGGGGGCCGTGGGGCAGATGTGCCACAGTTCCTGGTCCCCTGCTGCGGTGACAACACCGGAGTCTGCATCCCTGAGGAAGCGCAGGGGTCAGCTGAAGTCTGAGGTTGGGTGCCCGCAGGTCCGCGTGTTGGGGAGCGCCCAGCTGGCCTGTGTGGCTCCGCCATCCAGTGGGAGGGAGGCTGTGTCCTCAAGTGGTGAAGGAGCAGGAGGCGGCAGAGGCCTAAGCCACTTTCTCCAGCCTCTCCTAACGTCGGGCCCCGTGAGGGCAGAGGGCCCTCTGGGCAGTGACTGCAGCGTGAGCTTCGGAGGGTGCATCGGACCCAGCACCAGACGTGGGCACAGCCCGCGCCGGCCGTCACAAGCACCACGTGTGGGCTGGTGTCAGCCTCGGTCCTGGCCTTGCTTGGTACCTGCGAGTGGGCACATGGGCCATGGTGGCCTGGGGGGGGTGCCCAGCCCTGCAGGAAGGGGCAGGCCGCACTTCGGCCACTGCCTCTTTGTCCTGGTGGCCCAGGAGTCCAGACAGGGATGCTGAGCTCGGGCTGGAACAGAAAGCTGCCCCTGCCCCCCCGACAACACCAGGCCGCCCTGGACACTAGCTGGTTTCATTCCTAGGCCCTACTCCCTCTGTCCAGAATGTCGTGCGTGGGTTCCCTGCGTGGAGCGCCTGCATGGAGGGCATGCTGAGGAGGAGGCTGGCACTGAGCCCCGGGCCCTGCTCTGCACTCTCAGGCCCTCATGTGGGTTCTCCCAAAGTCGGCAAAATCTGAGCCACCTTTATCACCATGTATGAATTATTTCTGTTCACCGCTTCTGCATGCACAGTTCGCATAAAGTGATGTGCAAAATCCAGAAATTTCTGTTTTGTGATTTCCAATGACTCCACCCCACGTGTCCCAAGCTGAGTCCCACGGTTGGGGTGCAGCTGCCCATAGTGTCCCGAGCCAGCCAGAGTGAGAGGGGACAGTTCATCCCAGATCCAGGACACTTGCAGACACAGAGAGGGCTCCAGCTCTGCAGCTGTGGCCCGTGAAGTGAATGCATTTCTTTTCTCACTACGTGAATCTTTCTTTTATCATTGCACTGTGTTATATTTGGCAACCTCATTGTGATACCAAGGCTGCCACAGCCCTGACTTTCCTGTTACGTCACCATTTCATGCCAGCAATTCCAAACCAGACAAGATTCCAAAAATTAACCCAAAATTAAAATCTTTAGTTATTACTACAAGTTACTAAACATCAAGTCTTCAATCTGAATAGTCCTTGCCAAAAGTTTGTACAAATAACTTACAATCCCTTGAAACTTTTCCGGTAATTTCTGTGTTATTTTGAAAAACAGTATGTGACATACAAGACCCCAGTTGGAACACAGCACATGTTAGCCACAACTTCTGCCCAAGGATTTTCCCGCATATTTGATCCACCCCGGAGACACTTCCTGCAGGACAAACACAGAGGACAGGCCTGGGCCACAGGAAGGTCTGCTCCAGGTCATACCCTGCCTGCACATCAGGCATGCACCTACACGCTGACGTCTGTGACACCATGAACGGGTTCTCACCAGAAGGGCAGTCACCCGGGCTCCCTCCTGGGGTGGGTCCTCCGGAGGTGGTCTTTGTCTGGGGTGGGTCGGGCGAGCACTCAGGCTTGGACTTGCAGCCCCCAGAACTGGGGCAGTGACGCCCCGGTCTGCACTGTCTTGTGACAGCTGAGCAGACATTCAGCACCTCGCTCACGGAAATGAGCTTTGCGTTTCGATTTGGAGCTAGTCCCAGGGACATGGCTGGACTGGGCTGCCGCGGCCCTGGGCAGTTTACTCGGTGTTTCCTGGCTTCCTGCTGTCCTTGCTGCACGTCCTGTGCTGGCCCACAGCCTTGGGAGGCTGCAGGGAAGGCGCCTTCCGGGCAGACAGCCCATCCTGGAGAGCAGCATCTTCCGCTCCCTACTTCCTGTGTGCCTGAGCAGGCACCTGCTCTTGTCTCTGTGGGGCAGGAGACCCAGGGTGGAGGGTAAGGAGCTGGCATCCTGAGAAAGGGCAGTATCACGCCCCAGAGACCACATCCTGGCGGCCCAGGCTGCACCCTTCCCCTCCTCCCCGTGCTCTTGGCTGTGGCAGTCAGCACGGATAACCTGTTACCAGTGTTGGGGACTTGTTCTGTGGAGGCATTCCCAAGCTCAAGCGGACACCTCTCCACAGGCTGCTGTGGCCGGAATTATCCTGTTACATTTTTATCTTTATTTTGAAAGGATTTTCCTTTTCTTTTTGAGAGAGAGTGGAGGCCAGACTGGCCTTGAACTTATACTCCTGCCTCAGCCTCCTGAGTGGCCGGGGCTGTAGGTATGCACCACCGACTTGAACTAATCAGGAAAGTTGAGGAGATAGAAGCAAAAACCACGTGACCTCTCACATACGCCTGACCCAGATTTATCAATTTTTACACTTTGTTACATCCGTTAAAGCTGTTGGCTGCTCCTCCACCCCTCCCATCCCTTCTTTCTCTCTTTCCCACTAAACTGCACGTCCCTTTGCGTCTTTTCTTGACAGCCTGGGTGCCACTGTGCTTTGTCCGCCTACGGTTTACCTTCTAACTTTGACGTTTTCCTTTGGCCCCTTCTCTCCCGGCCGGGGCCGAGGGGTCTCACCAGCGGTGTTTGGCAGTTGTGTCTCTAGTCTCCGGCCGGCTCTGGCTCCTCAGCACCCGCGTCTCCCGTCACCCTGCTGCTTTTGAGCGTACCAGCTGCTTGCTGACCGCACAGCCCTCTGCTGGGCTGGGCCGTGAGCGCTCGGGCAGGAGTCAAGCCGGGCGTGTTTGGATGGAGTGCTGTGTAACACGGTCCTCCTTGGACGGCAGACCTGGAGCCCCCGGCCCGGCTGCCCCTTCTTGGGGGTGTTCATTTTCATCCCGTGACAAAGGTGTTGTCTCCCACACACACGGAGTCGCCGCCCCCATCAGTGAGTGACTTGGGGAGGCCCCGAGAGGTGCCCAGAGCACCCTGCTCCCTTGAGTCCACTCCCCCTCGCCGGCCCTGCCGGAGCGCCTTAGATATGAGCTCACGCCATCGCCTTGTGCCAGGATGGTCACACTGTGATTCCTTCTCCAGCCCTGTACGCCTGCTTGTTCCTGGCATTCTCGTGCCCTAGGGGTGTGCTGAAAGTGGGGTAGAGGACCCACTGGCCATGACTCATGCCCCCAAGAGCCTTGACTCTGAGCACCGTCCTCACTGGACAGCACCAGGGTGCTCGAGTCAGGGCAGTGCGGCAGGACGGCAGTGGGAGCTCCTGCCTCATGGGGAAGGGATGCGCTCACTGGTGCTGGGCATGGAAGGGCCTGGGTGCAGAGCCAGCCCGAGCAGCCCCCAGCACTCGGGGCCCACCTGCGCGTCTGTGACACTATGAACGGGTTCTCACCAGAAGGGCAGTCACCGGGCTCCCTCCTGGGGTGGGTCCTCCAGAGGTGGCCTTTGTCTGGGGTGGGTCGGGCCAGCACTCAGGCTTGGACTTGCAGCCCCCAGAACTGGGGCAGTGAGGCCCCGGCCTGAGCTGTTTCATGACAGCTGAGCAGACACGCAGCACCGCCTCAGAACTCAGCTCACTGTGGGTGAAGTGGCCCAGTATTTGCATAGAACCTAACGGCATACTACAGAGGCTGTAAACACCTCTGGATGCAATGGAGATGTTGTGTAAACAGTTGTTACACTGGGTCGTTAAGGGAGTGACCACAGTGAAACAGCCCTGTGCAGACACCTTTCCTTCCTCCCTCCCTCCCTCTTTCTCTCTCTTTCTTTCCTTCTAACAAATGTTTCCAGTTTGCATTTGGTTAATTCTGTGAAAGTGGACCATGCAAGGAGAGGCCAGCTGTGAGTACCTGAAACAACTGCAGAAAGGCCTTGAAGGAGCTCGGCGATTACTCACAGTGGCTGGGAGGTGGAAGCCATCCGAGTGTCCTTCTGTGGGTGACCAGAGAACGTGTCGTGCCTGCGGGGCGTCTCTCTCAGCCTTGAAGAGGAGGCAC